TGCTCCACAGTTGCCACGTAGGCTTCTTACGATGACTACGCATGTAACACAAAGGAATGGGTTGATCAGACCCACACTAAGGAATCACATATGCAGTAATCGATAAGAATCTACATACAACTATGCAACACACAACACAACTATATATACATTATCAGAGTTCCCTAACAAAACTGCTCTGATACCATAAAATGTAACAGCCCGTTACGTACCGGTATTGTTAACATTAATTATGATATTAAGCGCAGTTACAATCACAGCAGTTCATTTATAAAAACGAGAATAAATTTTTTTCGACTATTACGCGAGCATTTAAATCATAAAAATGCGTAATAATTAAAAGTTGTGACCGTAACCGTAAACTCTTGCGGAAGACTTATTTAAACTATGTTTATCACTTACGTTACTTATTATAAGTTACTAAGGAGTTCCCATAAACTCACTTAGCCAATTTCCAACTTTACGTTTTATACCAATTCGAACATGTTACACTCTAAGTTTTTCTGCGACCAACCGATCGCAACCAACCCTACTTCTCAGATTATATCTTTGTGTTACTTAATTCTCTTTTTAACAAGCTAAAATACGCTCAATTCGGAGCTCATTTGCTCCGGTTATCGCCGTTTGAAGTTGGATAAGCAATTAGCCCAAACAACCCCAAAAACAGCCCAAACCACTCACTTTGCCCGAATTACTGCACTCAATCGACTCAACCATTTGCTCTCAAATTTTTATCCTACAAACTAGACATCTCAAACTTCATTTTGATATATCACACGCTTAATTTGACGGAGAAACGAAGCGGGAATTAATTTCCCAAATCCGGTCCAGAATCTGCCTCAGGTGCAGGGGCACATGGGCAGTCCGTGTTTCTCTATTTATTTCAGGCCGAAGATCAACCCAGAATTTCCTCAAATTTTGACACAAGGTAGAGGACATCTCAACCTTCAAAATGACGTATGGCACGTCCCTAGGGGACCTCTATAGAGGGAGATATGCTCTTCCGAAGTTCGCCTAAAATCTGCCAATTCTACAGAAAATTCGCCAGAGTTTCCTTTGTTTTTCCAATAATCCCAAATTTGTAAAAGATCATTTAAAACCTCAATGTACCTAATAAACACATGATAATACAGTAATAATCCAATGGGTGGCACACACAAGGACCAACAACGCCTTGGGGCACTTACAACCCAATCCAGTTTATAGTTATTAAACATAGAGTCCATATTAATCATTCTTAAGTAGTTGCAATCACTAACACCTTTTTCATGCATATTTCCATCATACATATTATCATAACCTAAAATAGGCCTAAGGCCCTTCCATCATAATTAGACATGCATCAATACTATTACAATATGGCTTTACAAATTACAACTTGAAACTAAAACTTCAAATTACATTCTTCTAAAATTTCAACTTAATTTAAAAGACAACATAACCAAATACATCACTACTAGACTTAGGCAAAATGGCATGAACAAGATGCTAATGAAGCTACTAATAAATACAAATGACATGTTCATGCCCTAAGTCTAGCCTAGGCCACACGGCCAACAAAATGCAAAATAAGAAACGCTCCATCGCTCACTCTGCGGGCCTCTTGCCCGAGGCTCCTGCTCCACTGCTACCTCCTGAAATAAATGCCCCGAGACGGGGTGAGATATACGAATATATCTCAGTAACCAAGAGGTTCTGGAGAAAACTCCACCCAATGGTTCACTTCGATGCATATCAATAGAATACAACAACCACTTGAAAACGGGATATAGCAAGGGATTTAGAGAAGGGGGAATATAAAGAAAACAAAATACGACGGTACGGGATGGTAACCCCAATTCCACGTACGCCCTCGGCATATATAAGCCTATGGGTATCATCCAAGGTGTGTTCACAGAAACCACAACCATGATGCCCAAACCAACCAAAACGCCAAAGACATTCCTAGTGTGCTCCTACCCGGATCACACACCATGACCGCAGTCAACTGGAACTCCCTCCTGGAGACCTATCCAGCGGAAGTCCGAAAATGCCCGAAGGCTAATAAAAACTGTCTACTGGCCAGAGACTCGGTACATAAGTACCCATAGCAATAATGCATGCATGCTCATGTGTTATATACTATTCATACACACTTCCTACCGTTACCATCAACTGGCAAGGTGGAACAGAAAAGGGGAACAAGCCCCAGTACCAAGAGGTTACCTTAATTCGTGTTTCCACAAGCTCCGCAGCAGCTTATCCCTCAACTCAGTACACAGCGGAATGCCTCAATCCACTTGGTCCCGGACCAAGGGCAATTCACTGATTCAAGATTCGGGATTCAGGTCGACGTACGACAACCTATACAATAACGTACATCCATCAGTACTCGTCAAATAGTATCAAAACGCAAAAACACAAAAATCCTCCCCATCCTCCCTTGATGGTTCGGCCATTGTAGTGTAAATGTGAGATTTATTTTTCTAAATTTTCTTTCTCATTTTGTTACGTCTCATTAGGTTGTCAATAGGCCAGTTCAAGTGCCGGTTCGTCATTTTCGCGTCGAATTACATCAAAACGCGAAAATCGCCAAATCACCCCTTTTCCCCTTGGAGGTTCGGCCATGTAGGTGTAAATTTGAGATTTATTTTCTTAAATTTTCTTTCTCATTTTATAACACTCCCTTAGGTTGTTTAGAGGCTAGTTCAATCGTCGTTTTTCCGTTTTCCGACATTTACGCATCGTTTTGCGAAATATTTCATTCAGGGCTCATTTAGGTCTCTAACACAATTCATTTTTTTTCCATTGATTCAAACACTCTCCAAGCACAACACAGCCCATCTAAGCACCATATAACTACACAAATCATCATCCAAATCATTTTTCAACATCAATTCCTCAATCTTTCCTCAAAGAATCGAATTTTACCCTATGGCATTCCAAGGAATTTCCATACAACTTTAATCATTCCACACCTCATACAATCCTATTATATCAATATACAATCATACAACAACTCATCAATCCAATCCTAACACATTTTCAAAACTCAAAGTCATGACAACCTCAAAATTTTCTAAGTTAAAAATTCACATTTTTCATCAATAATTTTTATTGCATTTATGGCTACTACACATCATTCTAAGACACATTCATGTACAAACATTTTCCAATTGAGCTCTCTAAACACATCAATCCAACAAGCCCTCTTTAGGGTTCATAAATTCAACCACAAAATTAAACCATTGGAACACAAGGAAACTCACCCAAAAGCTTGGCACAAGGCTCCTCCTAAACATACTCCACCATTGGAGCATCAATCAACACCATTTTCACAAATCTAAAGGAAAGGGCCGCAGCTTTGGGGAGGGTTTTTCTCAAAATCTAGTGGCTTTCAAGGCTTGGGAGTACCACCAATGGATTTAGAAGGCCATTTCCATCAAATTTCAAGACAAGAATCAATGGATTTGGTGAAGAAATGGCTAAGTTATGGTGAAATGAAATCTTGGAGGGGAAGGGCTATGGTGGCTGCGGGTTTGAGCAAGAAGAGGGAGGAAAGTGATGCATGAATAGTGCCAAGCACATGTGGCTTAAGTCACTTAAGTGGGGTGGGTCCCACCGCCACCTCACGTGATTTAAAACTAATCCGAATTTTCCTCCGATTCCACTAAACGTCCGTAAATTCACAACCTATTTAGAAACTCAAATTTTTAACATTAACTATTCCCCTTTAATTAGGCTTGATCAGATGAATTAAGAGTCCTCCATTCGTTCGGAGAAAACACTGTTTTAAGCTATTATGCGCGCCAATGGCACGCTTCCCCAAACTGTCTTAATTTCATCGAATATTATAAGAAATCATATTTCCTAACTCATTAGACCATTTTTAACTCATATTTGAAACCTAGAGCTCAAAACTCAATCGGCACGTTTTACGGTGCAATCGTACCGCGATATTTTTACCCGCGAAAAACACTATTCACTGATTTTTCTGAAACTTGCCTGTCCACTCAATTTTTCGTTCTGAACCCATTTCCAGGGTTATTTTTACCATCTGAGACCTTCTACTCAATTTTTATCTTCCTAGGGTTGCGTGTTGGCTAATTACCGTTTTGCCCTTTCTTTGTATTTTGGCCTAATCTTTTGGATTTTCACTAATCCATCACTTGATTGCTCACTTAATATTTTAATTACTTGATTTAAAATTGTGAGGTGTTATATCAACCTACTCACCGGAGCATATTATGCCCAAAACTCTCCCATTCTCTCTCACATCAGATGTGTCCATACAAATACACCCCAGCTATACCAATGTCCACATCTACACTTGGTAGATTGAATCGCCAGCTCCCCTTAATTGGGTTGGACACCTCTTGTTCAATCTCTTATTCAATCATAAAAAAATGGGATTTGCATTTATCATTTAACATGACACAAGAAAGTTTTTTACACAAACAACATTTTGTGGGGCCCACACTTTTTGAAGCAAAAAAAAAAATTACGACACGCAAAACGAATCTCTATAACATTACATAATCATTTTTCCTACAACATAACTCTTATAAAATCCTAAAAATATATATAATAGGTATGAAACTAAAAAAAAATATTGTATCGTTAATAATGTCAATTTTGTTATATTCATATGACGTTAAATTAAAAAAAAAATCTTATTAACAATAATATGCTAAGTTTAAATTTCAATATACGTCAAAATAAATAATCTGTTAAGTTTATAGAAATTTATATAACAAGTACGAAATTAAGAAAATTTTGTATTGCATATAGTAAATGTAATTTATAATATTAAGAGATAATTTATAAAATAGAATATTAAAAAATGTTTGTACTATATACAAAAATGATCCATTCGGAACGTACATATATATTAAGAGAAAGTTAATAATATATTTATTATGTAGTAATAATAATAAAACAGATCTGACATCATCTTGACTAGCATAAAAGAATCTCTTTTCTTATTTATTCTCATTCTAATTTGATTTCTATATCATTTTGGCTTCCTCCCTTTTCGAAATATTACCCTGCAACGGGTTACCCACCATGACGGTTCAAGGCGGCAACAGCAACGCGCCGCCGCACGTGTTGGTGATTCCGTTCCCAGCTCAGGGCCACATGATACCCCTCCTCGACCTAACCCACAAGCTGGCCACAAATGGAAGCAACCTCACCATAACGGTGGTCACAACCCCAAAAAACCAAACCCTCCTAACCCATCTCCTTTCATCACACCCTTCCATTCACCCTTTGATCTTCCCATTCCCCTTTCACCCTTCTATCCCTCCAGGAATCGAGAACGCCAAAGACATGCCCCACTCCATTCGACCCATCATGTTCTCTCTCTCAAAGCTCCACGACCCTCTCCTCCAATGGTTCAAATCTCACCCTTCCCCTCCACAATATATAATTTCAGACATGTTCTGCGGTTGGACCCAAAACCTTGCCTCTGAACTCGGAATTCGGAGACTCGTCTTTTCCCCTTCTGGTGCTTTCGCTTTGTCCACCATGTACTTTCTCTGGAAGGAACTGCCGAAGCGAACCAACGACAACGAAAACGATATCGTTTCGTTTCACAAGCTTCCCAACTCACCCACTTACCCTTGGTGGCAGGTGTCTCCCTTGTTTCGGAGCTACGTTGCTGGAGACCCAGATTCAGAGTGCTTCAGGGATTGGTTTCTCGGGAACATTGCAAGTTGGGGACTCGTTGTGAACTCGTTCTCCGAGTTGGAGAATCGTTATCTTGAGTATCTCAAAATGGAACTTGGCCATGATCGTGTGTGGGCGGTTGGACCGTTGCTTCCTGCGGATGACTTATCTACCACGCAGAGAGGTGGGTCCAGTTCTGTGTCGGTAAACAACGTCGTGTCCTGGCTTGATCAACGAGGGGATCGTAAGGTGGTTTATGTGTGTTTCGGGAGTCAAATGATTCTCACCAACGATCAGACGGTGGCTATTGCATCAGGTTTGGCGAAGAGTGGGGTCCATTTTATTTGGTCAATAAAGACAAAGAACGAAAATCAGGAAGGAATCATTCCAGCGGGATTCGAAGATGAAACAGCTGGTAGGGGCCTCGTGATTAGAGGGTGGGCCCCACAGGTGCTCATACTGAGGCATAGGGCGGTGGGCGCGTTCTTGACTCACTGCGGGTGGAACTCGGTGCTGGAATCGGTGGTGGCTGGGGTGTCGATGCTTGCGTGGCCAATGTCTGCTGACCAATTCGTGGACGCGACGCTGCTTGTGGAGGAGTTGAAGGTGGCCAAGAAGGTGTGCGAGGGTGAAAAAACCGTTCCCGACTCGGACCAGTTGGGTCGAGTTCTGGCTGAGTCGGTGAGCGAAAGCGCTGTGGAAACAAGGCAGGCGTTGAAGCTGCAGGCGGCGGCGCTTGACGCCATTAGAGAGGGTGGTGGAAGCTCCGAGAAGGATTTGCGCTGCTTGATTGAACAGCTTCACTACTTGGTCTAATGTTTTTCTTTTTTTTAAATACAATGATTTGAATGCAGATTACCCAAATCTAGAATATTTCTCACCCCCGGAACAATTGTGTACAAAAGTCAAATAAAGTCCGTTTTGGTAGATGTTTTGCAAGGAAACAACTACTTCGGGGTTTCTTTTTCTGGTTTGTGTTCCGTTTGGAAAGACTGAAGTTATTATTTGAGGAAAAGTTTAACTTTTATAATTTTTGTCGAAATCATACTTTTGCTTTTAAACGTAAACTAATTGCGCTTTTAGTTTTGTACTTATGTAAGTGACGTATTTTCATTTTGGAAGGAAAAATAATAATTTAAATATGGCAGTCATACTAGGTATTTTGTTCTATACTATACGAGGTAAAAAGTTACACTTACTGAATATATCAAGCCTATTACAACCTTTGTTCTATATTGTTATCGATATATATCATATCCTAACTACTCACTTAACAATCCACTAAAGGATAGATACTCAATTATCTTAACAATATCAAACAACAAAGATATTCAGGATGGAATCCTTATTTCAACAGTAAGGAAGTTGAATCCTATTGCAACTGGAAGGTTTTCATAAACCCTAGAGGTAACCCTTATAAATAAGAGGCTAAAGACCTCAGATATACACTTTTAACCTATTTACACCAACACTGTGCACACACTCGCGTCTTGGCTACAAGTCTATTGCTTGTGCACAGTGATTGAGATATTGACCATAAGCCAGATACATAACTACTCTTACGGTATCTCTGAGCGCATACCATACGGTATAGCAATACGGTCTTTCCAGGACTGAACATTGGCGCCGTCTGTGGGAAACGATAAATTTTGATTCCCATTCCACGATGACGAACACTCGTTCGACGTCCAGCACTGGCCAACCGCCGCCACACCTATCTCCACTGGAACATTTCCAATCAACAGTGTCTCATGCGTTGGTGGATGTCCAGGTCGGAGAGGTCGGCACGCAAGTACCGCCCTTCAGAACCCAGTCCAACAAGGCAGTGGAGTCAGCGCACCCACCTCCACAGAATGATCAGCCAGGGGATGTGGCCACTATGGCCATGAATGTAATCCTTCAAAGGATGCAAGAGATGGGGAACAAATTCCTGGCTCAACAAAGGTTGAATGCCCAGAGGATGAAGGCATTGGAGGCTGAGCTACGAAACCAAAACAGTGAAGGCCGAGCTGGAGGAGCAGGCCAAGTTGAAACTGGCGGGCCGCAACAACAGAATACGGCCACGGCAACCGAGACTGTGCAAAACCCTCGTCATGGCAACCACCAAGAAGGCGGAGGACCGGTCAACAACCAATGAGATAATTATCTCCATGACGAGGAGACTAATGATAGTCCATTTACTGAAAGGCTCATGAACTTGGCAATTCCGCCGAGGTTCAAAAGTGCCAGGATACCTCCTTACGACAGAAGTCAAGACCCGGATGCTCATTTAGAGGCTTTCAAGATCGAGATGTTGTTCAACGGGATAACTGAACCTATTAAGGCCAGAATCTTCGCGACGACATTGACAGGTCAGGCGATGGCATGGATAACAAGGCTCCCCAGGAACTCGATCGATTCGTTCGAGGACCTGGCTCGAACTTTCCGTCTGAATTTTGCAACGAGTAAGGCACATCCGATGCCGGCCTATGCCTTAGGAAGAATTCGGCAAAAGGAGAATGAATCATTGAGGAAGTACCTCGATCGATTCAAAGATGTCTCCCTCAAGGTTCAGAATCTAACTGAACTGGTACACCTGCATATGATCATCTCGGGATTAGATGGTGATTCTCCACTCGCAAAATCCATCTATAAGAACCCGGTCAACGATCTGGAGGAGTTCCGAAGAAGGCCAAACAAATAAATCGACGTTGAAGACATGCAGAAGGCTTATGAAGAGTCCAGAGGACGGAGCCTGAATCGCCGCAGTCCTAGTAAGAAAAACAAGGATCGAGATCAGCGAGGGTCGAAGAAAGGAAATGACGCTCATGACAAGAGGTCGGACGATCGATCTCCAAGGACCAAGTACGACAGTTACACACCATTGAACATGTCCAGATCTCGGATATGGAAAGAAGTGGCCCAAACTGAGATGCATAAGGTCGAAAGACCTCGACCCCTCAAGAGCAAGAGCGAATTGTACAGAAACAAATATTGTGCTTTCCATGACCAGAATGGTCACGTCACAGATGACTACTGGGATCTCTGAGATGCTATTGAAAAACATATCAGAGAGGAGAAATTGAAGCAATACATTATCGAACTCAAGGCAAGAAGAATAGTAAGCGAAGGCAAAGAAGCCGGAGCAGGAGTCACAGCCCTAAGAGGGAGGAAAGAAAAGATCGAGATCAAGACCACCCTCCAAAGGGCAAAAAGGTCAAAGACAAAGAAGAGGAGTTCCAAGAAGCTGAATTTGAGTGCAATGTGATAAGTGGAGCCTTGGGTGGAGGAGGCGATACCGCAAATGCAAGAAGAAAATACCTAAAGGAGGTCATGTCAGTTAGAGACAGACCAACCTTCAAAAGAAGAGCCAGCAATCATGCTCCCCCAAGACTGTTCTTTACTCAAGAAGGCCTAGAAATGGTCGTACCTGGACATACTGATGGCTTGGTAGTTACCGGGGTGCTGGTTAACTACCGGGTTAAGAGAATATTCATTGATCACGGAAGTTCGGCAGACATACTCTTTTGAAACGCTTTCCAAAGGATGAATTTGGATGAAAAAGACTTGAAACCCTGCGCCACCGAGTTGATTGGGTTGAACGGAGAGCCATCCCCTCCAAAGGGTTATATAGACTTGAAGCTGACCTTAGGTACGAAGGAGGCGTTCCGAGCTGGAAGGGTTCGGTTTGTGGTAGTAGATGCATCTTCCTCCTACAATGTGATCATTGGCCAACCTACAATCCACGAGTGAGACATGTTAGTCTCCGCCAAGCATCAAACACTGAAGATGGTGGGATCAAAGAACGAGGTCATCACTGTAAGAGGAGATCAGAAAGAGTCCAGGGAATGTTACTAAGAGACTTTGAGGATCAATCATGGAGGGCCATCATCTCCCCCTAGAATAAAAAATGGAGGCACAACCCCCACCAAAGACCAGTCGGTATACCCATGTGGAAATGAAGTAAACTTGGTCGAATTGGACATGAGGGAGGAGCTCCAAGCACCTCGTCCAGAACCCCAAGGAGAGCTGGAAGACGTCAATATTGGGGAGGATGGCAAAGGACGCACCAAAGTAGGAAAGGGCCTGGAGGCCGAGATTAAAAAAGAGTTAGTCTTCTTTCTCAATGAGAACTCCGATGTGTTTGCATGGAAGGCATCGGAGATCCCGGGAATAGACCCAACCTTCTGCTGTCACAAGCTCTCCATGTACCCTGGGTCTAAACCAATGTCTCAAAAAAAGAGGAAATTAGGCCCTGACCGACATCAAGCTCTGAGCGAACACATGGACGAGCTATTAGAGGCTGGCTTCATTAGAGAAATACAATACACCACTTGGCTGTCCAACATTGTGATGGTGAAGAAACCTAATGAGAAGTGAAGAATTTGCGTTGACTACACCGACCTTAATAAGGTCTGCCCAAAAGACTCGTATTCGATGCCCAATATAGATCAGCTAGTTGATAATTCATCAGGATTTCAGCTACTGTCATTCATGGATGCGTATTCCGGGTATAATCAAATCCCACTGCACCCAGATGACCATAAGAAGACCACATTCATCTTGGAAAAAGGAAATTTCTGCTATAATGTTATGCCTTTCGGCCTTAAGAACGCCGGGGCGACTTACCAAAGTATGATGAACCGTGTCTTCCAAAACCAAATTGGAAGGAACCTGGAAGTATACATTGACGACATGATCGTCAAATCGGTGCATATGACTACACATGTAGCCGACCCCAGAGAAACTTTGGAGCAATTGAGAGCTCGAGAAATCAGATTGAACCCGGCCAAATGCGCTTTCGGGGTACCAGCTGGAAAGTTCTTGGGCTTCATGCTCACCAACAGGGGAATTGAAGTCCACCCTGACAAATGCAAAGCCGTCCTCGAGATGAAGCAACCTAAAAATAAAAAAGAAATCCAGCAGCTCACAGGTCGCCTGGCGGCCTTAACCAGGTTTCTGCCCAGGTCGGCAGAAAAGGCCTTGCCTTTCTTCAAGCTCCTAAAAAAAGAGGCAGAATTCGGATGGGGAGTAGATTGCAAAAGGGCATTTGAAGAAATAAAGAGATGCCTGGCCACCCCACCTGTGTAGTCAAAGCCAGAGCCTGGAGAGACGTTGATTTTATATCTCTCTGTGGGTGAAGAGGCCATTAGCGCAGCCCTAGTAAGGGAGACTAACAAAGGACAACAGCCGATCTACTTTGTAGGGCGGACATTGCAAGCACCTGAACTTCGGTATCAGAAGCTTGAAAAGGTGGCGTTCGCTTTGCTCACCATGGAAAGAAGGCTCCGACTTTACTTCCAAGGGCATCGAGTGATCGTAAGAACCAACCAGCCCATTAGACAAGTGCTACATAAACCGGATCTACCTGGAAGGATGATCAACTGGGTCGTCGAGCTCTAGGAGTTCGACATATCGTATGAACCCCGGCAGGCAATCAAGTCCCAGGCATTGGTCGACTTCATCCTGGAGCTCGCCCCATCCAAAGGGAAAGAAAGAGAGAATGAATACCTCTAGACAATATACGTCGACGGATCCTCACATTCTAAGAAGAGCGGAGTCGGGGTGATAATTGAAAGCCCGGAAGGAGTGTCCATTGAACACTCACTCCACCTTGCATTCCCGACCTCAAATAACCAAGCCGAATATGAGGCTTTCATCGCAGGAATTGTACAGGCAAAAGAGCACGGAGCAAGAAGGATAAAAATCCTCAGTGACTCACAGCTGGTAACTTCGCAGGTCAAAGGAAAATATCAAGCTAAAAGACCATTAATGATGAAATACCTCCAAGAAGTTAGAGAACTGTTGGCCGAGTTTGATGAGGCGGTGGTCCAGTACATACCCCGAAATGAGAACAGCAGAGTGGACATCCTGTCAAAGCTCGCCAGCTCGAAAGGATCGGGAAATCACTGAACGGTCATACATCAGAGCATCCCAGAGCCGGCCTGCATCATGGTTATAATCGAGAATGGAGACTGGAGAGGGCCAATAGTGGCTTACTTAGAAAAAGGAAGTCTGCCCGACG